AAGACCAGCCAGGCCAGTCCTAACAATTTTAGAACCCCGTGAAGTTCACTTCAGAGTTCCGTAAAGTTGAGATCCCAAGACTCCAACAGATGATCCAATTAATCCCTTCAGGCTGCAAAAGACATTCCGAATCATTTGTTCATAATTGTTGACAACCTATTTTGAACAGTGAGCTCCAAATGTCACACATTGCTTTTTTAACGAATTCCTCTAAATGGAGACCTGGATTACCACAGAATACCTTAGTATAGCTGTAATATTTGGAGTCCATTAATTTGCCAAATTTCCCCTGAAAGCTCCATTCTCATATTTTCTTTAAATAGCTACGACTTTGTATCAGTCAGCCTTACAAATGGAATAGGCCAGTTTGAAGCTCAAATTCTATTATCTTATCCCTGTCAAATTGTTTCACCTGAGAAAATGATTTACGAATACTTTGAGACCGTGGGTGGCATTTTCAATCTATTACTAGCCTTTGATATTCCCTCGGCAGACACCATCAGCGGGTTGCCCAATCTAGATTAGACAGCTGTTGTCTGATAGCGGCTCAGAACCTCTGGGTGCAACACCGACCCGTGCGGCAGTCACTAGCAACATGTGGTGATCGCCCACATGGAATGTGGTCATTCCAAACTATGGCGTGCAGTCAAGGTAAAATACACATTAGATTTCAAAGATTTATTTAGTATGAAAGCTTGAGCGTAAAGGATCGCATTAATAATTTTTTTCTATGAATGACATGTTGAAATAGTAATGTTTTAGAGACATTGGTTTATATAAAAGATATTAAGATGAATTCCTCCTGTTTCTTTTTACTTCTTAAACATGGCTGCTAGAAAAATGGCAAAAGCACATATGTGACTTGCGTTGTATTTCTATTTAATAGCACTGAATAGTTCTAGAGTTATCCACTCTGTACCCAAGATGCACCAGCTCTACAGGAAGAGTGTGCAGTATTCCTGGGCAGAATCTCATCACTAGGTCGGTACAGCGACGGGCAGCAGGCCTCCCGGGTGTGAGTTCTGATGGCCACACATGAGCCGTGTGACTCCCGGCCTCTCTAAGTCTCAACATCCTCGTCTGCAAAAGGGCAGAAATGATAGCGTCAACCTACTCATAGAAGGCCTTTTGGGAGTACAAAGTCTGCTTTTCCCACATGTGTTGTATCTAGAGCGGAGGTAGAAGAAGGAAAAACTCTTCCTAGAGGTAAGTGGTCAGGGCCTAATGGCCCATAGATACCAGAGCCGAGAGACCACTGTTTGTGTCCTATTTTTCAAAAGCCCGGGTTACACCAGAGATCACTGGATGAAACAAATTGTTCCCAGACTATTCTGAACGATCACTAACTCGAGAGAGTCTACACAGGTATACAATTTTCTCTTCCATCCTTCAGATCATGTCCATTCATTCATTCATTCACGATTCACTTACTTGCATGGAATGAGAATATTTTGGAATTTTTTTTTTTTTTTTGAGTTGAAGTCTCACTCAGTCGCCCAGACTGGACTGCAGTGGCCGCTCCCGGCCACCGCAGCCTCGACCTGCTGGGCTCCGGCGATCCTTCCGCCTCAGCCTTCCAAGTAGCTGGAACTACAGGCGTGCGCTACCACGCCCGGCTAATTTTTTTGATTTATTGTAGAGATGAGGTTTCGCCAAGTTGCCCGGGCAGGTCTCGAACCCAAGGGCTCAGGCCACTCACTCACCTCGGCCTCCCAAAACGCGGGATTACAGGCTGAGCCACCGAGCCCGGCTGGAAATGTTTTCAACTGGATTTTTAAGCCCCTGTGCTCTGACCGTGCAGGGGATCTGAGACTGTTAAAAGCACAGCATGCTTCCTCAGTTTTGGCTGTCCAATGAGATGTTTTGTCTGCATCGGTGTCAAGTCTACTGTCTTACTGGGGCAAGACCATTCATTTATTCATTCATTCATTCAGCAAATATTTACTAGGTCCTCATGTACCAATAAGATGCTGGCGATAAAGCAGTAAAATTCAAGCATTACTGAGAGGATTTTTAAAAACGTTTCTAAAGTTCTTTTTCATGTAACACGAGCTACGTCAGATGGGCTTGATCCTAGTTTTTTTTTAATGGAAAAGAGGTCTTCGTTTGAGAAAAAGAGGAAGGGCAGAAGAGCCTGCATTGTCCAGTTCCAGTGGAATGTGGGAGAAAGAAGGTGTTAGAAGTGGGCCAAAAAGGCAGACACCAAGGTCTTCACTTCATTCTTAGCCCTCAGGTCCCGAGCCTCAAGAGGTTAGAGGGGGCTGCTTTAGAAACAGCTAAGCCGGGCTCGGTGGCTCAGCCTGTAATCCCGCGCCTTGGGAGGCTGAGGTGAGTGGATTGCCTGAGCCCGTGGGTTCGAGACCCGCCTGGACAACTTGGCGAGACCTCATCTTGACAATAAATAAAAAATTAGTCGGGCATGGTAGCGCGTGCCTGTAGTTCCGGCTACTTGGAAGGCTGAGGTGGAAGGATCGCTGGAGCCCAGCAGGTCGAGGCTGCAGTGTCCGGGAGTGGTGACAGAGTGAGACACCACCACCACCAACAACAAAAAGAAACAGCCAGATAGTCATGGGGAGGCCCAGGGACACTGGGCTAGTGGGTGGCCTTTGCAGGTCCTGGGGGAATGTCAACCTTCAGTGTGGAGCACTGTTGGGCTGCTGCAAGGGGGGTGATGGGATACAGGCAGGTAGATGAGCCTGCTTTAGTGTCCCTGGCTCCCCCAGCTCTGTCATAAAGCACCAAGTGTCCAAGCACTCAGGTGAGGTGTGGAAGTGCTTACTCTCAGTAGACCAACAGAGCCTGGGAGTCAGCAAGCAGAGGCGGAGATTTCAAGGCCAAATGCAGGGAGCAGGGCATGAACTCTAGTGGTGGCTGTCCCCCAACCAGAGGGACCTCATCAGGTACCAGTTTAGATGAGGAAGGGTCCAGCGGGCTCATGAAGATTCCAGGGCCAGTCCTCCCCAGCCCTGTTCCTGGGAGCTTGAAGTCCCTCACCCCCATGTAACCAGATCCACTCTGGAGAGGAGCTGGGGAAAAGGAAAGCTAGCAGGCTACCCTTTTACCTTAAGGAACTGTTTAAAATATGAAGGGGACCCCCCAAATACCAAAATCATCTTTCAGAGGGTGGGCCCTTGTAGTACAGGCTTCCGCTGCTATCAAGAGGAAGATGAGTGTCGTAATTCTATCTGAGAGCCTTCCGTCACTCTCAAGTTCATATCTCCGTAAACACGATATAGGTCCAGACAGCCACAAGGGTTCGCTTTCTGTTTATTTTAATGGAGCTTCATCTTGTAAGGGAGGAAGACACATCTGCCCTGACAACTTCTTAGGGATGGCGCCACCCCAAAGCCTGACAGTCCAAGATCATTCAACAAGCGTCAACCCCTGAGTTACTTGCCTGATCCGATCCATACGCTTACTCTTGGTAAGTGTTCTAGGAATCCATTGGCATTCATATACCAGCTAGCGTTGTTGTGAGGGGTTACGTTTGGCTTCAGTGAATTTCTTCTGGAGATTCTTTCAACATGCCTGCCCATTTCACGATGGGCGATTTACAAGCGCATCTGCCCACACTACACTGAGTTTTCAGTAGTCTTTAACCTCAGACAGCATGATACCCATGCTCGACCCTCCCTATTCACCGGATCTCACCCCACTTGAGCTTTTTTTGTTTCCCTGGATGAAAAAAGTCCTCAAAGAGAAACATTTTGCCAATGCGGAAGGGGCAAAACAAAAAACACCAGAAGCACTAAAAGGCATCCAAATCCAAAAGTTCAAAAACTGTTGTGGACAGTGGAAAAAGCATCTCGATAGGTGCATTGCATCAAATAGAAAGTCCTTTGAAGGTGACTGAAGTTTAAACATGTAAGAATCACACGCAACTTTATACGTATAAATTCCAGTTTCTTTTGTGTCTCCCTCGTACAGCACTGGGCTACGTTTTCCCAGATGAACTAAAATTCAGTGTTATCTATGTTCCTATTCCATAGAAGCAAGGGCTATAGATTCAAGATGAGCTCAATTAGGAAAAATAAACAACCAATATTTTTTGGCATGTACAAGATCCGTCCACGTAAACTCACATTTCCCTGCATACATCCATCCTTTCACCCAACACACATGTACGGAGAGGCCACCATGGGATAGGCACTGAGCTAGGCTGTTTGGAAATAATGCCTCTGAAGCATGCAGGCACAGCCTATTGGAGGAACAGGTCTGCGAGCTAACAATTCGGGGGTATAACACAGGAAGCACGTGACGGAAGCACAGCAAAGCACTCTGGGAATGGGGTGGTGGGTAAATCCCCCTGGGGGATGTGCAGGTGTCATCGACACAGTGACACTTGAGGTTCTTAACAGAGGTCTGAGTTCTCCAGGTGAAGACATAGGGACATGGTGATTTAGGTGCAGGGAGGTCTCCACACAAAAGCCTCAATGTATATGAGGACAGGGACCATCTGGGTAACTGCAAGCAGTTCCATGCAGTGGGAACCAAGGGTATTTGAGGGGCGTCTAGGAAGCGAGGCCGGGAGATAGACGGAGGGTAAAGACCAGGGGTCTTCTGGGAGTTTCTGACATTGTCACAGATCAGTGACAGATGAGTGTCATCATTCTATCTATGGCCCTTCCATCACCCTCAATTCCTATCTCCATAAACACGAAGTAGGTCCAGATAGCCACAAGGGTTTGCTTTCTGTTTATTTTAACTGGGCTTCATCTCGCATGATGTGGAAGACACATCCGCCCTGGCAACTTCTTAGGAATGGCACTGCCACACAGCCTGTCAGTCCAAGATCACTCAACAGGTGTCCACCCCTGAGTTATTTGCCTGATCCGATCCACACGCTTACTCTTGAGACCCATACAGAAAGAAAGCAGGTACCTCCTTAGAAGAACACCCCTTTCTCTACTGGCAGCTGGTAGGTATGACCTTGGCCCACCCAGAAGGGTAGCTGGGGAAAGAGAGCGCCAGGAAGGAAGGGCAATACGCATGTCACTCACCTGAACTTCGATTTGGAGATCCGGTGGCTGAAAGAGAAAGAGGACATGTTACCAGAGGACACATGCACACTTTTCTTCCACTTACAAGATGCTCCCGGGTAATAATACGGGCATGGGAAGGATGTGTGTGGTATGGGTTAGAACAGCTTGGCCGGGTATTTGAATGTGGAGACTATAGTGTGGCCCCGCCGACATGTACAATTCCAGAATCTTCTAACTACAGACGATCTTTGCCGGAGAGGGAGAGCACCGTGTCCTCAGATCACCAGGGTCTGCCCAGCAAGTGCTGTGAGGCCAGGTGAGGAAGTGCTGCGTCTTGAGGAAAGCCGTGGAGGAAGGGAAGGCCTTTCCTGGGGACAGGAGGCCCCCACCCGAGGGACGATCCCAGCCAGGCACACACCGGCACAGTCCTCATTGCTGTCTGCTGGGGGCCCGGCCCAAGCCAGGTTATGAAGAGCAAAATGAGCCAGCCCAAAATGAAGAAGCCATGAAGGTCCTGGCCCGAGAGCTGCAAACGGGGCCTATAGAATCAGCCCTGGGTTCTGAGCACCCAGGATGCTGTCCCTGGAGGACTTCTGGGCAGAAGCACAGGGAAGGCATGAGGGTGGCTCGTTGCATAAGGGAGGTTCCACTGAAAGACTGAACCTTCCAGGAGGCCCAGGGACTCCTTAGTTCATATAGACTTGGGGACGTGGTGATTTAGGTGGAGGGAGGGCTCCACAAAGTCCTCAGTGTGTGGAGGAGAGGAGGGTAAGCCAGAGAGAGACAGACAGAGAGAGAGAGAGAGACAGAGAGACACACAGAGAGAGAATGTAAGCAAGAGAAAGAGAGGCAGAGAGAGAGAGAGAAAGAGAGAGAGAGAATGTAAAAATGTAAAGAGAGAGAGAGGCAGAGAGAGAGAGACAGAAAAAAAATGTAAGCAAGACAGAGACAGAGAGACACACAGAGAAATAGAGAATGTAAGCAAAAGAGACAGAGAGAGACAGAGAGAATGTAAACAAGAGAGAAAGAGGGAAAAAGAATGTAACAGAGAGAGAGAGAGAGAGATTGTAAGCAAGAGAAAGAGAGGCAGAGAGAGAGAAAGAGAGAGACAGAGATAGAGAGACAGAATGTAAACAAGAGAGAGGCAGGCAGAGAGAGAGAGAATGTAACAAGAGAGAAAGACAGAAAAAGAGACAGAAAAAGAATGTAAGAGAGAGACAGAGACACAGAGAGACAGAGACAGAGAGACACAGAGGAGAGGGAGAAAATGTAAGAGAGAGAGAGAGAGAGAGAGAATGTAAGCATTTGAGACAAAAAATTTAGAAAGCCGGAGTCACCTGGGCTTTGTTGCTAAGACAAAGAGAGTGGAGAGTGAGCAGTGGAGAGAGCGCAGATGGGTGACACTGCTCAAATGGATAAGCAGGACGACAGAATGCCAGTTAGAGACGAAGGGATGGAGACAGTGGTAGAGCGCCAAGGAGAGGCGAGGGAGAAGACAGGAGAGAGTCTGGGAGGGGACCACCGCCAGCCTGCGCTGTCCCAGCCCGGCACAAAGCGAGCTGTGTCGCAGAGCGAGCAAACACCAACCCCTCTCGTTATTTTTTATTTAAAAAAATTAAGCCAGAAGATGTGACAGGTGGCAAAGCCATCGTGCATGAGATAATTATATCTCTGGGGCACTGCGCATCAGAGCCAAGTGCCTTTACTGCTCAGAACGGTTAGCTAATAACCTCTTCCCACCCCCAAGGCTGCCTGTGAGGGCTGGAGGGCTTAATCACACGTTAACAACGCGTGTGGGAGGGCACCAGGAGACAAGGGCAGCATTGTTATTTAGAGCCACAGTTTAACGGGGAAACAAATGTTTCCCAGCTGCTAACTGGCCGCCGAGAAACTCGGGGTGCTCTCTCCTCCAGCAGGGCCAAGCCGAGATGGGAACCTTCAGCATCTTCCCTGAGTGGGTAAGCCTGGCCTCAGTGGCGCCCTTCGATGCAGACCACTGACCCTGGGCTGTACGGTTCTTTCTCGCTCTCGGTGCAAGTTATAAACAAAAGCGGGGCCGGGCTCGGTGGCTCAGCCTGTCATCCCAGCGCTTTGGGAGGCTGAGGTGAGTGGATTTCCTGAGCCCGCGGGTTCGAGACCCGTCCGGGTAACTTGGCGAGACCTCATCTCTACAATAAATCAAAAATGAGCCGGACGTGGGAGCGCGCGCCTGTAGTTCCAGCTACTCGGAAGGCTGAGGCGGAAGGATCACAGGAGCCCAGCAGGTCGAGGCTGCGGTGGCCGGGAACGTGCCACTGCACTCCAGTCTGGGTGACGGAGTGAGACTTCAATTCAAAAACAAAAACAAAAACAAAACAACAACAACAACAAAACCCCCAAAAAAGTGGGTTCTTAAAAACTCCCATATGGGAAAACTAAATCTGAGTGTTCCTAGCCCCCAGGAGAATGACTCTGGGTACAGGGCAGGATCAGGGCCAGGGGTGACTGTTTGAAATGAGGTCCCAGCTCACGCACGGCCAGTGACCACGGGTCCTTCTGCGCATGCTGACAGGCTAGGAACGAAGTGGAAATCATTAGCTTCGTTACAAGTCCGGATGTAGAAGACCAGGACGCGGCACTTGAAGACTGATTTTTGTTGTTGCTGCTATTCTCAGGAGATTGTGAGCAGAATTTTAGGTCCACGAGGTCTGAGCACTCATTCCTTTTTAAGACTGGCACACCTCACGAGCAATCAGCAGCGCCGCTAAGTGCCATCTTACTTTAGCACTTCTACTTAAGAAGGGGAGGGTATTCTTTGAGCGACATTTGTCTGGAGGCTAAGGAAAACTCCAGGCCCATGGGGAGCTGAGGTTAGAACTCTATAGAGTCTAAACGCCTCGATTCTTCCATATTCCCTTTGTACAGGTGGGAGTTAATGGTAGGACCCCACTTCATGAAAGCAGAGGGACACCACCGCCAGGCAGCCTTTGGCCTTCTGGGAGGCAGCCGTGGGCTCCAGGCCGGAAAAGCTGTTCCCACTGTGAGAGAAAGCAGGCTTGGACACCTCGGGAGTGCTGGGATCATGGCACTGGTCTGTCCACACCCTAGGCCATTTGACCTGTGGCAAATGTTCCCTCCTACTGGTTTCTAATGACTCTGAGTCCAAAAAACCCTGGAATAGCAGAGAGCTCTTCTCTGTACACAACAAACTCAGAAGACTCCTTGGCTTTCTCCAGCATCATTATTCTAGTGTACAGTTCCCTTCTCAAGTTTAAGGCCGATTCTTGAGGAGGAGCAATGAGGGAGAGAGAATCGGCCATGGACACATGAGACCATCAGAAGAGCTCCACTGGGTTGGAACTGAAGTTCATTCAACCCAAGATACTTTCTCTGCCCAGGACTCCAAGACAAACCTTCTGGGAGGCCATGATTTTCTCTCCTGATTTTGAGGTTCAAAATGAAGAGACACACCTCAAACTTGTTTTTTCTTAGTTGCTCAATTTGCATTTGTCATTATTTGACAAACACTTGAACTTCCTGGAAGCTATTTATATTTTCATCCTCTCTTCCCTTCTTAGTGGAATGAGCACCAGATGTTTACTACCTGCTGTGTAAAACAGTATTTCCCTTGAATCGTCCCAGATTTGCCTTTAATGTAAGTCAGATGGCACTGCGGTCCTCACCCATATCGACAACACATCTGACTCAGTGTCCTTAATTCCACGATTTCATCTCCATGACACCTGTTATTACTGGAAGGGTCCCATCCTGGACCGTGTTATTGCACGGCATTGTTTTGACTACTGGCTACTGTACTTAGTAGCTGCATAGCTTAGACCAGAGTCTCTCATGACTCTTCCCGCTCTATCATGGGGCCCATCTTTGTCCTCACTGGGTCCCCTGCATCCTACCCTTTAATACCAGACTAGATTTCTAGTACCCACCTGACCCCACAGTCACATCCATGTGGCCCACTGAGGGCACAGACTCCACACGTCCTGGGCCTTCTGCTGTGCCTGCGTGGCTAAATCCTGCCCTGGCTCACCCCACCGTCCGTGTTTAGCATTCCCAGGCTACAGAGTCTGCCAGAAAAACATGCCGAGTTGTTCTTTGAGGCCAACTCCACATTTATGACGTCAGTCTCTGCTGTGGCTTCGGTGACGCTCAGCAATCTTTTAGTGACCTCTTGGTGACTCACTGGTTGGAATCTTCTGGCCCGTCCCTCCAGTTCCTATGACACCTGGTGTCCTCCTGTTCTGAGATGACTGAGATCCTTTGGTACGATGCCTTTCGCCGACCCCGTTCATCCGAGTCTGTTTCCAATTCTATGTTCTTTACAGACTGTAGGCTTCCAGAGCTGGGAGGGAACTTTTAGAGACTGCGTGGACCTATGGTTGGCAGTTTCTCCAGTTGCAGAATGCTTTCTTCACATGTTGTCTTACGTGGAAAGCTGATGTCTCAAAGAGATGAAAGCAGGCCCCCTCCGTAGCAGCCCCCGAAGTTGATTTCCAGATCCCCTGACCTCTGCTGAGAACACGAGGAAACCCACGGTCAGTCAACCCCGCTGCTTCTCAGAGGAAGGGCTAAGACTCAGAGCAGAGTGCTTTGGCCAAGGTCACAGGGCTAGTTGGAGGCTGATGGGACTCCATGACTCCTGATGCCAGGTCTCTATTTTCATTTTCCAGTTAGTCCCAGGAGAGGACCTCTCTTTCCTGGGCAAGTTTGGTGTCTTTGGCATTGACCTCCTCCTCTTCTGAAGCAACTTCTTCCTACAGGCACTCGTTTCCTCTCCAGTTTGCTTAGCCTCTTCCTGTTCTCTGGCTTCTTCCTTACCTGGAAGTTTGCCTCCACCTTGATCGCGATGAAAGCCAGCCCTTCCGGTGTCCATGCTGCCTCCTCTTTACACGTTCCCACACCCTCCCCCTCCATGCCGCACTTTCCAGGCCGTTTCTACCCCTTCTCCCTCATGAGACCGACTCCCACGACCAGCGGCCCCTCCAAGTGTTCAGCACTCTACAACACAACCCATCCCTTCTTTCTATCCCCAGCCTGGGCCACCATGGCCTCATCTCGTACCTGGGTCACATTACTGCCACTCCACCTGTGCCCACGCCTTGCTCCTACCCGTGTTTCCCGACACCAAACCTTCGGGAACGCAGAACTAACCAAATCAACCCCCGGGCTCTGCGTTCTGAAAGTCCTTCAGTGACTTCTCACCTCTTCTGATAGAGACCCAGATTGTCTCAGGGTTTACAAGGCTCAGCCTCTGCCGTGGTCCTGCCCCCAGCCTCTCTGTTCACATGCGCCCTGGTTGCATCTGGGGCCTGGACGCTCGCTGGGCCTCTGCTCAGAACACCCTTCCTTTTCACCTCAGTAGCTCACGCTTACCCTTCAGCTCTCGGCTGAAATTTTAAACCTTCAAAGTCGAAATTTGAACCCAACACTGCACTGAGTTTTCCTTCCTGACACTCACCCCAGTAGACAGTTCCCTATTTCTTTGTTGGGTGTGTCCCCCACACTAGACTGTAACCCCAACATGACGGTGTCAGTTTTCTCCCTGGGTATGGGTCACCATCACCTGGCACCAAGCTGGGCATTCTGCTGAAAGCATGTGCAGATAGATGTCTCTGTCCTGAAACGCCTCCTCCCACGGCTTTCCAGGCTGGTGTTGCTGACTGTCCCTCTAGCCTGGTTTCGTCTGTTTTGTTTGCTTGGTCTTACTCTTCTGTATGTCGGAGGCTCGGCCTGGATCTCCTGCTTCCCACTGCTGTGAACAAGCCTTGTCCTGTTACCTCACTGATGGTTTTAATCCCAGGGGCCTCTGATGTGTGTCTTCTGTTAATGCTGTGTCTCTGATCCCCACATCCCGTTGTCTCAGTGACGCCTGCGATCTCTCCGGCCGGGCCCCAGTTCAGATTTGACATCCACCTCATTGTCCTTTTCTCTTTCCAAACTTTGACGACTCCTTCCTCTTCTTCATCTTGCCTGCTCACCTGTCCCCAGCCCAACAAAATCTCATGTTGCAGTTCTTTTCTCCCCATCCTCTCTCCCCCGCACAGAACCCACCTTCATCCAGACCTTCTCAGACGCAGAATCCTCATCCTCGTGTTATTACGTAAGACTTTTAACCCTTAGCTTTAGGAATGCTGGTCTCTCCCTGTCCCTCAGACCATCACACCCAATCTCAGCCCTCGTGCTGTTTCTCCCACAAGAGATGTGGCAGTCTTACCCCATCATTGTCTGGGGCGGGAGCTGGGGGGATAGGGAGATGGGAAAATACCACAATGTCTTAAGTGCATATTACAGTCCGGGCACCACGACTGGGCATTTTGTATGCAGAGTGAATGCACAAACGTGGATATGCATGTGGATAACAAGGAGCATTTCTATAGAGCTCTTGAAGCCTGCAGAGTGCGTCGTCTGAGGAGATGACAGATCGACTCAAGATTGCCAGCTTGGCCCTGCGGGGGATAATCATGGTCTGTTTCCAACAGAAGCTCGTGCTCTCCTGAAATGTACTCTCAAGTGACTTCCTGGTGCCAGCCACCCCTCCCCTCCACCCCGTCCCGCCTGGTCTGCAACTTGGGCCATGCCCAAAAGTCAGAGTTGCAGGGTCTGTGATCCTCTTCTCCCCAACCCTCCTCTTGGTGTCCAAACAACAGAAAGGCCTAGAACTTATGGACTTTGAAGGCTTCCTGTAGGCCTTTCCCTAGTGTGGCTGTCTCGGGCCCATTTCCAGAAACTCAAGTGCTTGTTTTGTGTGATTCCAAAAGACTAGGGAAAAGGTTTGGACTGCTGCTTAAAAACGTAATTAGCATCGTATTTTAACAACATTTTGACAATAATTGCTTCCCGACAATGCTGAGAAATCTGCACTGCAGACTCCCTGGTGCCTCTGTCAGAGTGAGTGATACTGAAGCCACACGAGCACTGGAAATAGAGGCTGTGAAAGCAAATCTGTCCTCAGTCTTGTCCTGTTTCCTGCTTTGGCTCGGGGGCCATTCTCAAGGCTGGTATAGATGCGTCTAGACTCACCCCCAGCTCCCCTCTGTAAAAGGGTGGGGGTTTGCCCATGGGGGAAACAATCAAGAAACGCATTTTATCTGGACTGGCCCTACACAGAGGTAGGTGCTCCTCAGACACTTTGTCTACAGTTCCTTCTGGTGACTAGGGGGAGTTTATAGTCAATATCCTCCAAGGCAAAGGGAAAGCAAGCTCCCTTTCCCAAAGTAGAACCTGACCAGTCTAGGAAGCCTCGTGCTCAAGGTCAAGGTGACTACCTGACAGCACAGAGTTTAATCCCCAGCCGCTGCTTCTAGAGACACCAGCAGTTTGCTTCTTTTTAGCAATCGAGCCGTGTCTTCCCTTCCCTGTGTTGGAGGGGACATTTCACAGGGACGACTGGCTTCTGTTTTTAAGGTGGCAGTCATCCGTGTGTGAACCGTGCCTGTCCACACCAGCCCCTGCTCCATCATACTTGGCCAGCCCCAGGCCAAAGCCAGCCCTCCCAAGCCAGGGCCTGGGATCTGACCCAGGGAAAGGGAAGGAACGGGCATGCAAGCATAGGTTCGTGTGGGAGGAGGTGACTGGCCATGTTCTAGGCTAAGTACAGGTGACTCAAGGTGACATTTGGGCACCTCTGCTTCTGTGTTGGCAGGTTGACAAAGTGCAGGTAAGGACTCTGTGCTTATCGTCTCCCAGTGTGTTTTCTTACCTGTCTGCTTTTCTTCCAAGTCACATTTATATAATTAGCATTGTATTTTTAACAACATTTGACAATAATTCCTTCTGGAATGCAAAGGGTGATCAGCAGGGCCAGGGACCCTAACCTGGTCGTCTCTTTGAAGAGAGGTGAAAGGGATTGGGGAGCAACAGACTTGGAGGCCACCCCCTGATGAAAAGGGGCTCAAAGTCCAGGAAGCAGACCCTCGTGGAAGAGCTGGATTGAAGATCAGCCTTAATTTTAAGACTCACCCCTCCACTCAGGGCCTCCACCCCAGGGCTCCATGCTCCTCGCCTAGGCTCCCATCTGAGGTTTCTGTTTCTTGAGGCCAGCTCTCATCTCTGCCCTCCTCGTGAAGAGCCAACCTATTCTGACACCTGGATGCAGCTTCCTGCCCGCGCCCCAGGAAAAGCCCCAGCCCCTGGGTTTGCCGTGCCTACTCACGCCAGCCTGGCCCCGCAGTTTTCTCCCTCGATGTCACCTCCAGCCACGTTTTCGGTGTTGACAGATTCGGTCTCACTCGTGGGCATGCTCACTGCAAGAGTCAGAGAGGTGCAGAGCAAGGCATTGAGGGTGGGGAGACAGGAGGGTTGAAGAGCATCAGTTTGCAACACGCCACTGCCGCGACAGAGCGCTGATTGGTGGAAAGAGAGCCTGAGCCCATGGGCTGGCCTGGGGGGTTGAGGCCTGGTCTTACTCTGGTCAGGCTCAGAATTTTCCTTGACTGACACACCTGCTGCTTGTCCAGGGAAGGTTTTGCTGCCAAGGACACTGTAAATTCATGGGAATGTGTAAGGACATCTGGAGACAAGATCATTTTACCTTCTAGGATGCATCCTGCAAAAACTGACCATTAAATCCTTTCTCTCTGCTCTATGGCCATGTAAAAGCCACGGAAGCCTTTTCATTTGCATCTACTACTCGCCACAGAAAGAAAAGCTTTCTTTGCGTGTGTGTGAGAGTTGGAGTCTCACTCCGTCGCCCAGGCTGGAGTGCAGTGGCACACTCATGGCCACCCCAGTGTCGACCCGCTGGGCTCTGGCTATCCTTCTGCCTCAGCCTTCCAAGTGCAGGAACTAGAGGTGTGTGCTATCACACCTGGCTGTTTTATTGTATTGCCAAGGTGCCTGGGTTGGTCTTGAACCCCGGGCTGGTCTCGCCTTGGCCTCCCAAAGTGCTGGGATGTCAGACTGAGCCACCGAGCCTGGCCAGAAAGAGGAGCTTTCATTCAATATGTTATTTCCTTTACTCCTTCCACCCACCAACTCTAAGGGCCATCCCCAAGATGAGGGCCCAACCTATTTGCAGAAAGGCATGTTTTCTGCCTGCCTGAACTGCTGGATGGATGTGGAAGACTTCCTTTCCTGCAGTCAGTTACATCCAGGGTGGTCCCTGAAACGGAGAGACAGCCATCACCAGAGATACTCACGGAGACTCAAACTAGTACTGCAGACATCAGGGATGAAAACGTTAAGTGCGGAGTCTACAAAACTAGGTTCAAATGTGGTCTGAAGACCCCTGGAGGGGATAATGTGTCTCCTTTCAGTCATCCTGATGTTCCCATCTCAGCAGGTTGACTTGGGATAGCCACCGTCTAACTCTATTAGAGCCAACTTGTCCAGCTTCCTCCCAAGGAAGCTGTGGGCTGGATTCCAGAACAATGGGGATTTTCTAGCTTTGAACCCAGTTTGGTGGCTTAGAAGAAGCCATTTTATTATTATAATTTTTTTTTTGAGTTGGAGTCTCACTCTGTCACCCAGACTGGAGTGCAGTGGCCGCTCCTGGCCACTGCAGCCGCGACCTGCTGGGCTCCGGCGATCCTTCCACCTCAGCCTTCCAAGTAGCCGGAAATACAGGCGCGCGCTACCACGCCTGGCTAATTTTTTGATTTATTGTAGAGATGAGGTCTCACCAAGTTGTCCAGGCGGGTCTTGAACCCGCAGGCTCAGGCAATCCACTCACCTCGGCCTCCCAAAATGCGGGATTACAGGCTGAGCCACTGAGCCCGGCCGCCATTTTATTGTTTTCTTCTAAATAGAAGTTTAACTGAAAGCATTCTTCTTCACCTTCCATCACCCTCTTTTTAAAAATCCTTTAGATTCAAGGGGTACACATGCATATTGCTATGTGGACATATAGTATAGCAGTGGGGACTGGGTCACAGGTGGCAGTGAACATTGCAACCCGTAGGTAATTTCTGCTCCCTTATTGTTACCGCCGGTGTTCATTATTTTCATACTTGTGACCGTTTAGCTGCCACATATGAGTGAGAACATGTAGAGAAACCATCACCCTCTTAGTATGACACAGTGAGTTCCTTAGTTTTGCCAACCCTTGTCCTTTAGAGTAGCCTGGTTCAGCACTTGCTCCAAAACACAACTCCTCATCTACTGAGAAGGTCACTAGCCCTCAGCAGATATAGCATCTGCAGTTAGTGAGAGTGTGGCCTCCGGTGACAAGTATCCACGGGGCTGCTACAGCCCGGGAAAGACTTTCTATGGATGATATTGCTGGATGTAGATTTTTTCCAGTGCCTTTCTTTTTGGATGAAGACAAGCCAGGTAGATGAGTGGAGCGTCATCACAAGAACTTGGAAGACACAAATAGAAAGCCCACAACTTACCGTATGGTTAACTGTCAGGTATGAGAGACCTCTCCAACTTTCTAAGTAAAGTTGGATACAAAACAAAATCCAGATGTCATTTCATAGATGTCTAGAGCTAGGTGGGACTTTAGAAATTATCCAGCTCTCACTTGTCTCCCTTGCTTCACAGAAGAAGAAAGTGAGACCAGAGAAGAGACGGGATGCCCAAGATCACAGGGTGTTTAACTGGGACAGGGGCACGGGTGTCAGCTCCCTGCACCAAGCTCATCTTGAGGGCTCCAGTGTTGACCAACTCTCTACTCTACAATCTAGGGAAAGGCAAGGTTCTTAAAGCCAAACCAGGATCTGGGAGCAGTGCTGGAGGGTAGTGAGTAGTCAAACAACGGTGTCAAATTTTATGGCATTTACATTGATAGCCAAACACTGTAAAAATGTACAGCACTGCCCGAGATCTGAGGGAGCTGGGGAGACCAGATCTTACGGATGGTTTTAGCCTTGGGAGCTGGGAGGACAGACCTTCAGAGCTTGCCAAGGCTCAGCCCACACTAAGGAAGGAGCCATAAAATTAAAGTGCTTTCAGTCTTTCAATCAATATATCTCCAGTCATCTTGGGTCCAAGGTTCTTTTAATTCTCCATGCATTGATGTTTGAAGAGCTGAGCCATGCATTTAAAGTTCTCTGACTGTGACACTTTGCTCCCAGAGAGACCCGTATATACTGGTGGAGTGGTGTGGTGATGCTAGGTCTGGAAAGACATTCAAAGTAAGAGGGGACAGGAATGGGTATTTGGAGGAACCATATCATCTTCTGTGTCAAGGCACTGCCTATACCAGTTCCAAGTTTGCATTTGCAGTGACCTTGATCTAGGCCAGCACTGTCCAAAGGAAGGGCTCTTTAAGAAATAGCTGTTGCTGACTGCCATGTCTGCTGACTTTATACATGTGAAGCGATGATGAGGCAGCGTTTTTGAGGGGAACAGGTCACCATCCCTTCACAAAACACACACATACCCACAATGTATACACATATGTGCACATACACAGAACCACATCATCACAAGCCATCACGAGAAACACCCTCCCGTCCAGGGTGGTATGCACCAACACACACTGACACACACAGAACACAGGGGAACATTACCATGGGTTTCTGTGGAGTGACTAAACCAAGCAAACTTCCCTTTCTTCTGATCAAGCAAGCCCGCCGGAGTGCCTCCTTTCACAGACAAGATGGTCAGTGTCAAGAACCAGGAACAAGACATCAACAGAAAACATGCAGTCAGCCACGGGTAAAAGAAAGAAACAAGGAACTCAGCATTCACATAGAACATCCATTTTCATCTTCAAAAATAAACCAAATAAACAAATAGCAATAAAACAAAACATATAAGAAAACATAACAAAGTCGAATGAAAATCCTGAATCACATGAATTAATAACACAAAACAAATGATGGACCCTAGAGATGGAATTACCCCAGCAGAGGCTTAGGTTTACACTGATGATAGCTAAGTAGTGACCTTGGGGAGAGGGTCTCCTAGGAGGGGGCTGCCACTTGTCCCTGTTGCTTCCTTAGAGAGGTGCCCCTTTTATAAGCTAAAGTGGGGTGACTCTAAAACCAAAATGCAGCACTGGTGTCCCCTACACCCCTTACCCAGGGGCCAAGTGACTTGTCTTCTCCCCTCACATGGAACCCTATTGCAAAACTTCCACCTGTCGTGGATTCAAGGGCTCCCTCGGTACATACATCTGGATGGGGTCACTTGCAGTTGGAAAAACAACCCATTGACCTACTTGCCTCTTTTTCCAGTTGAATCATTCAACTTCACTCAGTAAAGACCCATCCGATGCCATGGGCTGATCACGTCAAAACATATACGCACCTGCCTTTAATCAGTTTCAATGGGCAAAGGTGTTGCTAAATTGCCTATCAGTGGGTGATCTTTTGAAGGTTTGTAAATAAGGGAGAAGAGTTCTGTGGGCTTTTGGTGAGCCTCAGCTATAGCTGAAGAGGTGTGTGCTCCAGAAGGTGTGAAGACATGGATCACTGCATGGAGAAGAAAGGGGTTCTGGAATCTGCAATAGACTTTGAATTCTGGATGTCAAATGCTTTAGCTCAATGCTCAGAAAGAGAGTTTTCATTGGATAGAACTGGCAATCACTGTACCTCTGGGAGGTTGCTCTGAAATGTGCTGGCAATGATGAGAGTGAGGTAGAATCACCAATTTTTTTTTTGAATTGGAATCTCACTCTGTCACCCAGACTGGAGTGCAGTGGCCGCTCCCGGCCACCGCAGCCTTGACCTGCTGGGCTCCAGCGATCCTTCCGCCTCAGCCTTCCAAGCAGCTGGAACTACAGGCACGTGCTACCACGTCCAGCTAATTTTTTGATTTATTGTAGAGATGAGTTCGCCAAGTTGCCCAGGTGAGTCTCCAACCCACAGGCTCAGGCAGTCCACTCACCTTGGCCTCCAAAAACGCGGGATTACAGGCTGAGCCACCGAGCCCGGCTAGAATCACAAATTATTAATGGGGAGTAGCAGTGAATGGAGGTGGGATATGAGCCACTGCCCATGGAAGGAAGCATGTGCCCTTTGAGGAATGAGTGAGCAGCCCCACCAAGTTCCAGGAAAGGGCATGAGAAGAAGGTCACCCCAAGTTTCAGGTATTTCCTTATTTCACTCTCTTCTCCTGGAACTCAGATTATACTCAGTGAACTGCCTTGAATGTTGCATGTTGGTGAGAATTCTGGAGAGTGGCTCATGATAGAAAAGAGTCGGGCTTATTTTTAACCTATGTGAAGGGCCGTGTCTCAGACACACTCATCTTTAAAATATCAAATGTGGAGTAGACGGAAACTTCACATCCAGTTGCATTTTGGTTATGAGCCGAAATGAATGACTTTGCTCATTTCCCTTCTAGAGAAAGGCAT